GCATCCTGTACTTTCATAGTGCTGAATGCTTCTCTGCAAGCTTATCCCAAGTGCTGCCTCATCTAATCTCACCACAAGAATCACAGAAACATTTCAGATAAGAGAAAGGAGGTCAAGGGCTTGGGTCAAAGTCACCACAGCAGTTAGTGAAGGTCAAAGATTGCAATGAGCATTTCTCTGCTTCCCACCCCAGATGATTCCATTTAACAAGGCCAAGGAAAGCTTAACTGGGACATCATCGCTGGCTTTCCTTAAACCTCAGCATGGTGGGAATGAGTAAGAGGAGGAGAAACACAGAGCGTGAGCTTCTATCACCCCTAGTCTGCCTACCCAGGGACTGTCTAGGTGAGTGAGATGAACACAAACCCCAGTACAGTGAAACTTTTATGAAGCCTGCCTGAGAAGTATCTGCTGACTTGGACAGTATGTTTAAGGGATCATACAGGTAAGTCATGGGCTCCTCCCCACTCAGCCATCTCCATAGACCTAAATAAAAAGCAGATTTAATGCAAATAAGTGGACAGATTAGCTGTGCAGGAGGCAGGCACTGAGAGACTGATCACTGGGATACTCAAGCAGAGTGAGATGAGTGCTGTAAAGGCACTTTCCTAATGGTATTCATGTTGACCCGGATTACATCCCAGAATGAGTTCTGGATCCAGAATTATCTGAGGGAGAGTTCTATTAGCAGGGCCATCAAGGGTGAGTGACTCTGATCTCCCAGACCTCAGGGTCCCTTGCAGAGATGACTGAGAGTCAAGTGCACAAAGCACAGATGAAGCTGCGACAGGCTGGGACCCCAGGAACCACTGGAATGTCCATTCCCTGCAGCCTGCCTACGCTGAGGTTTCATCTAGATAATGCTTGACAAAAGGGTCAGGGTGTGATTAGGTAAGGTACAGCGGCTCCGCCACCGGCCACTCCCATTCTTCTAAGACCAAGGGCTGCCAGTGGGAACCACATTGCTCTGCATTAAGCTTCCAAACCACTTCCCACCCTCCCTTCCTCAAAAAGCCCTCGCCTGGGATATGCTATCCTATCATGCCTGCTTTCCCCTCTGGCAGATGCCACTGGCCTGTGGTCACTCCTCTTGTTCACCAAGGACAATGGCTCCTAGGTCATGTCGGTTTTTCGCTTCAGCACCCACGTGGAGGCTCGCCCTACCCTCCAGCCTCCCCAACCCCAGATCTCACGTCTTAAGGCTCCTCCCCTGGCTCTGGCCAGCAACCCCAGGTCATACCCTCTATTTTGCCTTTACCTGAGATTGCTCCACCTCTCAATTTCCAAAGTACTCCTGTCTGGCTCAAATACAACCCTGACCAACCCCTCACCATTCTGGAGTTTCTACCTTGTCAAGACCTCTAATTTCCTAATCCCTCCCTAGTCACCTCCTGTTTTCAATTCCCATTTTGGGCCAATTAAACCTTAGACTGCACATTTCATCACTGCAATTTCTCCTGTCATGTCATCGGAACTCCCCATCTTTCCCTCACCTTCTTTTACTTCCCTGGCAAAACCCCAACACTGCAGTAAGTGTCTCCATCCCAGCTGCTGAAGCCTGATGAGGGAAAGACAGGTGCATGCAGAGCCCCACTCAACACACACACACCTGAGTGCCAAACATCCTACTCTAAACTGACCATCTCAGAGCTCAGCCTTGTCTGGCCCTTCTGCTGTTTCCTTAATCAATCTGATTTCCAACACCAAGGAAAACATCTACTTCCTACCTTCCAAGAACATGCTCCACCCACATCTAGCTGATAATATCACTTCATTTCACAAAGAAGAGATTCAAACTCCTTCATCATTTCCCCATTAATTCAGTCATCCTCATCTTCTATACTGACCCCTTTCTGTTATATTGAGTCCTGTGAGGCTGCAGAGCTGTCTCTTCCTACAAGGGTCCCATCCCTCCTCCTCTCTCAAGGACTGTGACCCTTTAGGGGTCCTCCTCCTCGTCCCCCTCCTATCTCTCTCATCGCACCATCTTGACTGTTGCCATCAACATCAGCATGCTCTACCTCCCACCTTAAACACAGCTTGACCCCACAGCTCTCCAGTTATTAACCTGAGCCCCATTTAGGGCTAACTTCTCACATGCTCCACTCCCCGATCTTCCATTCACTCAACCAATCCGGCCTGCATTCCACACTACCCTCCCTGAAATTGCTGCCATCATAGTCATCAAACACTTCATGTTACTAAATGGAGTGGACAGCTCTGCCTCTGTTTTAGTGAAGCCCTCATAAGCACTCTGCATAGTCCACTCTCTTGTCTTCTTTAACATGCCTGGTTTTCTCTGCCCAAACTCTTAGGATTGGGCTTCCTCAGGGCCATGTCCTGAGCCCTCTTCTTTTTCTCTCTCCATGGATTATTTTGTCCAGTCTACATTTTTCTACCACCTTTGTATAAATAAAGTGAAGGGCCTAGAGGCCCAGCTCTAAGCCCTCTTTAATGGGAGGCTCTTTTTGCCAGGGCAGGTCTAGACCGGGGTGGGTCACGTCCCTTCTGATAGTATCGGAGTCTCAGGCATCCCAAAGATGAAAACTCTGGAGCAGAGACACCAGTAGTTACAGGTCTCATGTCTATGCTCAGTCTAAGGAAACCTAGCCACTTCCTTACCCCTCCTACTCAGTTTCAGAAGAAAAAGATTGGGGATTGGTTAGGATACTCTCCCACCTTTTAAGAGCCAACTGCCTTGGTCACCACTCAGACAAGAGCAAGTCTATTTTCAGGAAGCACAGGCAGTCCTCTGCCTCTCTATCCTTCCTAACAAATAAGCTGGGTCAGACCCTGGAGAGCAGCCATGGAGGACTATGGGAAGGACCCATGCTTGCTTCAGAAGCTCCTTGCTATCTGGGAGCAGAGGATGTTGACAAATATTCCTTCATGGTTAAACTGGACATGACCAGGGGAAGGTGTCAGGCTGTGTGTTGTTATAGATGGTATATTTGCATGCCTGGGGTTACCAGGCTGTATGCATATATACAGGGAGGAGGCAGGCTCTGAGAAGCTGCCAGGGTACCTGGGATGAGCTGTGGATTTTTGCCCCTGGTGCCATGAGTTGGAGGGTCCTCTTCTCAAAACATATGGTACGCACTTCTTCTTTTAATCTGCTATCATGTATCATCTTTCAGGTCCAATAAGAAAACATTCCCACATCCTTCCCTCCCTCCATAGTACCAAGGTCCTCATCTCAGTTTCCATGGGTCCATGGAGGACTGCCTCTAGTGACGAGCTGGAATTTTAAGACCTGAGATCGAGCCAGACTGTAGCAGTCCCAAGTCCTGGAGAGATTCCAGTAACTGCTCCCGGGCAGAGCCAATAAAGGAATTCTCCAGGAAGGTAGGCAGGCCTCCCACACCATCCCGCAGGGTATACAGGGGCACTCGCACCAGGCCCAGCACCTGAAAAAGAAGGAGACAGGAGATACTGGGGCCCCAGGTGCCTCATTCCCTTAACTCCATCCTCTCTCCAGCAGATATTTCTAGATGAGAGGTCTCACCTCTTAACGCTCCAGCAGAACTAGGCCCAAGGCTCATACCTCACTAAAGCCTAGTGGCCCAACCTTCTGCAGGAAAATGACCCAAAACCTATTATCTAGCTCTATCAATTAATATTTTCCACATCTGCTTCTAAACGTCTAGTGGTTCCTGCCTCAAAGATGCATTCATACCCTTTAACCAGTGGTTGTCACAATGCGGTCCTCAGATTACTTACATCAGCATTATCTGAGAACTTTTGAAAACTCCAAATTCTCAGGTTTCTTCTCCCCATGCCCCGTCACCAATGCAGGAATGCTGGGAGAAATAACTGTTTTAATAAGCCACCCAGATGATTCTGCTACCTGCCAAATTTTGAGAATCACCTCATACACAGTCTACTAGCCTTGCCTGAAATATCAGGGTCACATCTCCTACACAAGAAAAGCAAACCCAGAAATAAAACCTAGGGTGCCATGCCTAGATAATGTGATAATCTATCACACTGTCAATAGGGAACAGCAGAGAGACGTGGATGAGTGTGTTCTAGAAAAGATGTCTCCAGAGATCCTGGATCTCTCCTGGTAATGGGTGGGGAAAGACCTTCACAAAAAGCCCAGGTTGGCAGTATTAACTCAAAGTAGAGATGACCACGATCCAAACTCCACCAAGAAAATTGGGAAGAGGGCAAGGTCAGAGCGGTAAAGACTTTCCTGCAGGGATTCTTTCTTGGGGGAGGGAAAGCTTTGGGAGAAGAGGAATTTGGGAAAGGGACAGAGTCCCAGGCTGGCCCCACCTCCAGCCCGTGGTCCTTGGCGCGTGTAGCGCCGGCCTCCACAGCCAACAGCTGCTCGAGCGTCAGACACTTGGCGTAGAAGTGGGCCACAACGCGCGGCCCTGACCCGGCGTGGGAGCTGCGGTAGTCAGTGCGCTCTACGCGGAAGGCGGCCGCAGCCTCGCCCAGCTCCTCGCGCAGCTCGCGGTTCAGCCCTTCCTCTAGGCTGTTGTCCTGCTTGTCCACGAATCCTCCGGGGAAGCCCAGGCGTCCATCGAAGCGCATCTGCATCTGCGAGAGGGGGAAGCGGGGATTGGCAGGGGCGCCCCGGAGGAGACCCCAGAGAGAGAGCAGGGCTCACGCAGAAAGTGGCCGGGCGCGCCCCTTTCTCACCAGTACGGCGTAGCGCAGCGGGATGCGGCCGAAGAGCATCCCAGGGTCCGGCGCGTAGAGTAGAGCGTGGCACGCATGACGCCAGCCAGGTCCCAGCTGCAGGGCCTCGGCCAGCTCCAGCCTGCGGGACCCGGCCATGGCCCGACACTGCTCCTCCGCAATCCCGAAGGCCCACGTGGGCAGAGGGGCGGGTCTCACCTCCTACCAATCCGAGCCTGGGCGGTGCCACAAGGCCCAATCCCTGCTGGAATAAGGGGCGGAACCTGAGCGCCTTAGGGCGGGGCGCCGCGACTGGTGTGGGAGGCAGCCAATCAGGGCGGGGCTTGCAGACCCGTGAAGCCCAGGATCCAGGAACCCCAGGGAAACCGAAAGTACTGTAACCTCTGGGTTGGCCTTGCGGGGGGCGGGGCTGAAGGTGTGGTCGCGCCCTAAACCTGGACGAAGGTGGCTACCTAAACGTCTCCTGGGAGCCAAAAGAGCAAATCAGGTAATGAGCTTTGGTTGGGTCTGGTGGCACACAAAGCACAAGGCCTGGGTTGGGGTTAGGAGGAAATGAGGCAGGGCTGGCCTCACACACCTAGGCCTATCCTAGGGAAACGGGGATGGAGCGGCGCCATGGTCTAACAACTATCTTGAGTGGTGAAACTGAGGGGACTTGGTGACTGCGTAAAGGGGGAAGAGGGAGCGCTGGGCTAGTGGTGGTTAAGAGTTTCCTGGATGTGGTGTCATTTGCTGAGAGGGGAAGAGTGGGAGAAGGGTGGACAGTGATAAATGTCGTTCTAGTCAAGAATTGGGGTGGCCATAGACAGTGGGCAGCTGATCCTGGGGGTTTGACGCACAGGATCCTAGTGGCACATGGAGAAGTCACAGGGCAGTGAGATTTTCAGGGGAAGTGTGGAGCAGAAGGAGCTGTGAGTGAAACCCTGTGTCACAGGACTGGGAGTGAGGAGGGGTGAGAGGTAGAAGAAGCCTCCTAGGCGTTCTAGTCTTTCCTGCGAACACCCTCAGACCTCTGAGCTGTGAAGGAGGGTGGGTTACCCTACCACTCAGGGCCTGATGCTGAGATGCAGATCCCTCATTTCAGGCCAGGCCTTCCCCACGCCGCACAGCGCCCCTACACCAGGTGTCAATATTGATTGTGCAACAGAAAGCAGGAGGCAGCTCTTTGAGAGGGGCTGGGCATAAAATCACAGCGTGTAAGTGACAGCATGTGGTGGGAAAGAGTCTGGACCCACCCAGAAAGAGGCTTTTAACCTTAACAAGTCACTTAACTCTCGGATCCCAGTAGCTCATCTGTTAAGTGGAGATGATACCAACCTGTTAGGGATGTTGAGATATGAAAAGCACTTAGAACAGTGCCAGGCAGAAAGTAAATGTAGCCATTTTTGGAGTCGAGGGTTGGGGCACAGTGCTATGTCTTATGTTGAGGACCCAGGGCTGGGCACACTGGCTCATACCTGTAATCCCAGCACTGTGGAAGGCAAGGGGAGGTCATTCGAGGTCACAAATTCGAGACCAGTCTGGGCAATATAGAGACCCTATCTCTACAAAAAACAATAATAAAGACCCAAGAGTTGGAACTGAACTGCACTCATCAGCCTCCAGTTAAGGAGGAATGAGACTTGTATGACATTATCTTTCCTAGCTTAGTCTTCTGAGTTGTGGGGCAGGGATATCATCTAATAACATGAAGCAACTGCATTAAGGTGATGAGTCTGTAGGTGTGACACAATTGTCATTAGCCTGCTAGAGTTCTAGGAGGTTTGAAAATAGCTCTCCTTTAACATTAGATTCACCTTGCAAAAAGCTTATACAATTTTTTAAAAACTCACACTTTTGGGGTCCTATCACAGACCAATTTAATCAGAATGTTTGTGGGTCATGCAGGGACATACGTGGTTTTTAAAATGTGTTTTAGGTAACTAATAACCAGGGTGGAGAACTGGGGCCTTCCCCCTTCCACTAGCATTCCAAAGGCAACTTGGTTTTTCTCCTAGATAGGCTACCTTTAATGATTTAGGATCAAACATGCCCTTTCCAGATCTTCAGGCTGTTCTTTCTTTCCTGGTTGCTTGAGGAGACTTTAAAGATGGACTTTAAAAGATGGACTTCAAAGATTTCAAAGGCAACATGAAAAGCTGTAAAACCAAGGCAACAGCTATACAAGTATTAATGATTTTGGAGATCAGAGCTTTTTCTAGATAAATATGGAAACCCTTCAGAGCCCCCACCTTGCCAACCCTTTCAAATCTTTCTCTGCCTCTGCCCCACCTCCCCACCCCCACCAATCACCCCCCATTCCGCCATCCTGAGGCAGAATGTCCAGGACTCAAAGCTGCAGGTAGAGGGCTGAGCCATGTACCTAAAGAGCTTGCTGCAAGTTCATAATGGTACTTGGAACCAAAAATAACCCTGTGGTCAGCCCGGGAGAATTCTAAAAAACCAATCTATTATTTAAAAAGTAATAATGAAAAGAATCAAGCATTTATCCTACCTTTTTTTTATATGGGTTCTTCCTTAGGGCCACCAAATAGTTAATGAGAAGAAATGTATCTCACAAAGTATTCCAGTTAAAGAAGGAAAGAGCCAATCAAAATTTTAACATTTAAAAAATGTTAAAGAATTACTGGAATCTGGGGAATGATCACATCATGAATAGACAGTTGTTATACCCATTGTGATACAAGAGCACACTGCCTCCTTTGGATTATTTCTGCCAAAATATTGAACTGTTACCTTGATCTAACAATTTATAAGAAATACAAAGGAATACCTATTTAAAATATTAGGAAGAGACTAGAATGATCTATGTAGTAATAGATTAGAGTCTGAAACATCAGTATGAATTCATTTTTAGCTTGATGTAGATATGGCTAGATATATATACACACACACACACACATATGTATACATACAAGAGTTAATGTGCACACATATTTCCTTGCTTTTTCAGGTGAGTGGGGTTAGAAGCAATGATATTCCAATAGCAACAAACATACCAAGTGCCACATTTTGTTTTCTAACACCATTTTCCATAAAAGGAATCAAAGCCCTTTGGAGAAATGGCTGATTCCAACATTGGGCCAGAAAATATACAACTTGTATATACAATAAACCAGAAGCATCTTGTGATGCCAGAAATTAAGGAAGTTCACCAAATAAAAAAAGACAAAAATCTATATTGATGGAGATATGTCAAAGAAACAGGGACACAGGGACCAACTGAAAAAACTCCTAGTGGCCAAAGATGAAAGAATTGTATTGGATTACAATTTGAAGTACAATAAATATCTAGAGGTCCATACTGATGTACAAATGAATAATGAAAATTTATTAGTAAATAAATAGACAAGATAAAAACATCCTCTGCAGAAGAATTAGAAATAATTCATGTAACTACTCTGTCCTCAAAGAGGTGGAGCATAGCTTCCTACTCCTTGTGGGTTGTGAATAATGACTTCCTTCCAAAGAGTACAGTATGAAAACAGGAGAGGGAAGGAGAAACTTTGTTACTTTGTGGAGAAACCTGACAAACACTACCTTGGACAAGTGATCAAGGTCAAAATCAACATTGACAAGTCATGTTGGTAGAATGTACCCTTAATATGAAGTAATGAAAATGGTACTTTTATCTGTGGTTTTCCTCCAAAAAGATATAATCCCTCTCTAACCATGAGAAAAGCACCAAACAAATCCCATTGAAGGGACATTTTACACAATACCTGACCAGTAAGTCTCAAAATTGTTATTGTTTTAGCCCATTAGGGCTGCTGGAACAAAATACCATAGATTGGATGGCTTAGGAACGGCAAATACTTGATTTCTCCCAGTTTTGAAGCCTGAGAAATGCAAGATCAAGATACTGGCAGATTTGGTGCCTATTGAGGGCGCACTTCTAGGTTCATAGAAGATAGCCTTGTGCTGAAACCTCACATGTGGGAAGCGGTGAGGGAGTTCTCTGCAGTCTCTTTTACAGAGTCACTAATTTCAGGCATGAGAACTCTGCCCTCATGACCTAATAACTTTTCAAAGGCCCTACTTACCAACACAATTGGAGTTAAGATTTCAACATAAGAATTTGAGAACAAAAATATTCAGTCTATAGCAATCATGAAATATAAAGAAAATCTGAGAAATTCTCACAACAAAGATGAGCCTAAGAAGACGTAACATGACTAAATGGAATGTGGCATCCTGGAGAAGAAAAAGCACATTAGGGAAAAACTAAGGAAATCTGAATAAAGCATAGATTTTGGTTAATGATATCAAAATTGATTTGTTATTGTAAGAAATATTTTATAATAATGTAGATGTTAATTATAGGGTAAAGTAGGTAGAGTATATGGGAACTCTGTACTGTTTTTATAAATTTTCTGTAGATGTGAAACTTCTAAAAAATAGGTTTGTTTTAAAATCAGGCACATACAAACAGAGAAATTACACTAAACAAAAATTTAGAGAAAAAACGACCTGGTTTCTTTAATAGATAAATCACACCTATAATCCCAGCACTTTGGGAGGCCGAGGTGGGTGGATCGCGAGGTCAGGAGTTGGAGACCCGCCTGACCAACATGGTGAAACCGCGTCTCTACTAAAAATGTAAAAATTAGCTGGGTGTGGTGGCACATGCCTGTAATCCCAGCTACTTGGGAGGCTGAGGCAGGAGAATTGCCTGAACCTGGGAGCCGGAAGTTGCAGTGAGCCGAGATCGTGCCACTGTACTCCAGCCTGGGCAACAGAGTGAGACTTCATCTCAATCAATCAATCAATCAATAAAAATTACAAAGGGAAAAAAAGCATGGTGGCAGAATCTATACATTAAGAGATTGAAGAGACATATCAATTGAAGCAGTTGGTTTATTTGATTTCTAATTTGTCCAATCTTATTGATCATTGTTTGAGGTGCTAATAGTATGGTGGCTGTTTTGTTAGGGTTTTTAATCTATTAGAGATACATACTAAAACATTTGTGAATGACATGATAAAAATAATTCAATGAGGGGGCAGAGGCTGAAGGTATAAATAAAATAAAATTGGCCATAAATTGATAATTTTTGAAGCTGGGTGATGATGGGTCTATCTTACTTTTATATAGCTTGATGTTTTCATAGTTAACAAGTTAAAAATAAAAAGATCTTTGGCATCTCATGAAGTAAAGGTAAAGGTTATGATTTACATTTGAATAAAACTTTGCATTTCAGAAAATTCTTTCACAGACAGAATCCCTTTAGTTAAGGAGAGGGAGAGAGAGGTAAGGGTTTAGTCTTGTTAAGCAGGAAAAAGACTACAAACCCTCTACCATCTGCCAGGTAATTTTAAACCAGTCCACTTAATCCCCATCAGATTTTCCAGATGCTTTGAATGCAGAACCAAGTTTGAAAAAGACTGATTTAAATAAATACACTATGAGGGAAGGGGAAGGTGGGTCTATCGGCAGAGAGCAACCAGCTAGAGCCATTTGGGGTTTATCACAAAGGACTCCTTGTC